TCTGGGAGTTGAAGTCCACTCATCTTAAAGTGGCCAAGTTTGGACAACACTGACATAGGGGGACCTGATTTTATGAGTGCAGGCAACAGACATAGACAGAGCCTCTCTCCACCCTTATAAATAATATTAGCTAAGAGATACAGCTTTATTAAATTAAACACAAACAGATATAGATCAATCGGCTTCAACAGAGTTGTTAGAGATCTTCTCTACCAAAGCAGTGGTTAAGAAACATAGATATGGTAACAGCTGTGAACACTACATCAACTTTTCTTTGCTTATTGCTCTTTTGTGCCAGTACATATAACTCTTTGCCAGGAAGACCCATAGCATTGCCAATGCAAAAGTAGTAGACAATGAATCTAATACAACTTTCATAACAATGCTCACAAATCCCTAACCCCTCAGCTGGCTAACTAAAAAGGTTGGCTGTCTGAGTGCTCAGCATTCATTCCTAACTACAGTTACCTTCTTAAAAATCTTTGAAAATTGCTCTTTTCATAGTGATGTTTTTGTAATGTGACCAGTAGAAAATATAACCAAAAGGTTTGTTCAAATGTGGGAGATCTGTAAAACAAAAACCATTCTTTGCCTACTTGGCTCCCCATCTACCCAGAATAAAGTGTGAATAATTACCCAGTATCTAGCTATTTCTAAAGCAAATGGAACAAGATAAAACATACTTTGAGGCTGCCCTTGGATTTCTTCTTCTCACCCTAAACTATGGCTTTCATACATTATGTCAGTTTTACTGTCATGGAAACACTGATTCCCTGTTGTAATCATTTCTGTTGTAAAACACAGCTGTCTAACAAATGCATGCTGGAGTCATTTCCCTTCAGCATCTGTTAAACCTCAACTTGGAACTCCTAGTGTATACAAAAGAAAAGACACTCTCTATAGAATACATCAATCACAGAAGAGTGAGATGAAATTAAAGAGTTTAGCCTGCCTTGGCTCCCTTTGTGTCTAATTTAGGCCTCTCTGACCCATTGCCATCATTGTTGTGCTTGTGCCAGCTGGCTCTAGCTGTTAAGAAAATCAGCCTTCTATGCAGAATGTAGAACAATAAACTATCACAGGAGGATCTTGACCCCTAAGGGATATAAAGACACACAAGCAGAGAATGGTAACCCTTCACTACAGGTTCCAAAGCTCTAAACACTGTTGAAGAATTTGACAGTGGAACTTATAATCAACTGACATTCTAGGTCTCAAGTTCTTCATCCTGTTAAGGGAAGGCAAAGAGAGGAGGGAGCATATTCAACGTGATGCCAAGACTAAACAGTGAATAAACGAAGAGGCCAAACAGACAGTGGGCAGTGGGAGAATTCACACAGGGATGAATGGAAGAGGTGATGATAAGTGCTTGAATTCTTCAGGATAGAATCAAGGCAGCTGTGAGTAAGAATCTGCTTAATTCTGCTTAAATTCATCTTCCACAGCTTTCCCTAACAAAACCTTTTAAAGAGCCTAATATTTATCTGAGGTCAGGAGACACAGCAAAGGCTGCAAAGCTGATGGGCCCTTCTAGACTGTAACTGAGCTGTCTTTTTTAATTGTTTGTTATAAAACTAGGAATTTCTAGAGGAAATAATGCATGATTATGTTATGTTTTGGGGAATGATCTTTAATTTGGAGGGGGGGATATTCAAAGTTATTGGGATTTTTGTTTGTTTCATGTTGCCATAAGTAAACATATAACAAGTGTTTTATATTTTGCAAATTCCAAATGCTCACATATTTTCTTTCAAATGGCTTTAAAAATGTTTTCTTCCAACCCATTTTTAAAAAATGTTCATGTGCTCCTGTTCTGTTTAACCACTGAAATAAGTCTATACTTCAGAGGTTTGCTACCCAAACAGAAAATTCTGCAGAATCTGACAGTTCCATCAGAATAATGAAATGAGTGGTACAATACAAGCTCTCCCCTTTTGTAAATCCTTGGTGATGTCACAACATGTGTACAAAAGGGGCAGAGCTTGCATCATGAAGGCACAATGCTCATTTCATCACTTGGCTCCCTTTTCCCTCTCATGGATATCCCTGTTCCCAAACTGGTAAATCCAAGAAATGGGAGAACTTTCTGCTTTATTGTGTCAGAAGGTCATAATCAAAAGACATTCAGCCATTTTTGTTGTTGCATCAGTCTGAATGTTAGCTTTCCAGGCATAGGAATGCTAGAGTGGGTATGTCTTTGTATACTACTTACAACACCTGTGGGCCTCTTTGATAACAAATGGCTAAATAAAAGGTCCTAAAATAGACACAAAGCTCATGAAATAACTACTTACATGAGAGCCATTAGGGAGATGACCTTGTTATCACTTCAAGTCAGAAGTTCCATGGACTAAGCCTTTCCGTTCACATCAATCATCTGAAGTACATTGTGGCAAACATCTTGAAGTTGTTTGTCATGGTTATCTCTGCATGCAGACCTTGCAAAGAGTGATTTGCAGCCAACACCTAGTAAAGTGTGTGCGCACATTCAGATAGGCAAAGCAAAGCATGTGACCCCTCCCCTCAAAATGTCTGCTCCCAGCTGTGTTCATAACTGGGCAAGACTATACATACAGTATATGGTGTGGAATTTTAAATAAATAAGTCTTTGTGTTTGCACCTTTGAGTTAGTCTTGATTCCTGGCAACTACATGTGCAAGTCCATGAAGTTTTCTTGGCAACATTTTTGGAAGTGTTTTGCCCTTTTCTTCTTCCTAGCGCTGAGAGAGAGAGAGAGAGAGAGACAGTGACTGGCCCAAGGTCACCCAGCTGGCTTCATACCTAAGGCAGGACTAGAATTTACAGACTCCCAGTTTCTAGTGTAGTGCCTTTAATCACTACACCAAACTGCTAAATAAAGTGTAGAATTTTGAAACTGGTATATGTCATTAAAGTTTGAGAATTAGTACATTATATATTATTTCTATTTTACTTTCTTGTAGTACTTACAAACCTTATTGTTAAGTCTTCACTAAGGAGGTAAATATCCTCTCTGCTCCCAAATGAACTTTGTCCCATGACTATTTCAGTAAGCATTGGCTATTCCATGCACAGAACAAGTAGAAACTAAGCCCATTCAAGTCCCATAGAAACAATTCTAATATAAAGTAACTCTGTGACTTATTCATGGGATAGTCTGTTCCACAAAAGATCCCTTTCAAATGGGCTTTAAGAAGAGTTGTATTGTCAACCTGTTTAACCTGACAATAGCAATAACATGGATTGTATTGGTGGCATAGATATATTGATGCATAGTAATTAAAATAGTCTCAAAGGACCTTCTCATTTGCAATTCTTCCCTATTAATTAAGTTCTTGAAAGAGAGTAATATAATGAAGTGTTCTGTAATCATTTTGAGAAAGATGAAAATAATTACCTGTTAAATAGGATATGAAGGATGTTGAACTAATGCTTATTTCTCATTTTGAGGCTTAGCACAGAAATATTCAATATTTGAGTAAATATTTTTTGAAGGAGCAAAAGGGGTAAAGGATATTAATCCCACTGCAATCTGTTCCTCTCTAAATTTAGCATCTCTCTCTCTCTCTCTCATCCACTTTCTATCTACCCATCTATCTAATTTAGATCTCTAACTACTTAACTAGTTAGCTATGCCAGAACTTTGAATGAATATAGGGAAAAACAAAATACAATTTTCTACAGAAAGAATCTATCTATCATCTACAGTATCTATCTATCTATCTATCTATCTATCTATCTATCTATCTATCTATCTATCTATCATACACTTGTCAATACTTAAATCTTAAGAACATTCTGATGTGGATTTTCTGCAGAACCTTGATGTTGTTCGCCAAGGTGTTGCTATTGTTGCTATTCTAATTGTTGTTGTTGTTATACTAATATTTTGTAAAAGATTATTGTTATAGCAATATTTTGTAAAAGATAATCCCATCCATATTTGATATTATTATGACATATTTAATTAATTCTTTTTCTGAATTAAAGTAGCTACTAAATGTGAGCAAAAAAAGAGATTGAATTAAAAAATTGCATATACTTTTCATATTTATATTGTGATTTATTTATACATTTAGAATTAGTCTTATTTATTCATTTATTTCACATAAATGTACCAATACTTAGACCAATAGCAGTCTAATTTCTAATTTGTCCATTCTCAACATGATGGACAAAACTGTAAGTGGGAAGTCCATTTGGTCTACTGACCAGGTCCTAATTGATCCCTTATTTGATCTAAGCAGCTCTTCAAAAAGAGGACTTGCTCTTCCAATAAAAAAAACTCTTCTATAAATTGGAGGACCTATGGATGGTTTTGGTGCACTGCAATCTGTTTCCAAAATGCACTTGTATAAATCCTAACTTCATGCCAGATGAGCAGCAAAGGCATTTTATATGAAATACATCATCATCACAGTTACTATTAGATTTTATTGTAGGAGGAGAGCTGTGTTAGTCTATGGTAACCAACAATCAGGAATTTGGTAGTACCTTTTGAGACTTATTAATAATGCGCTTGATGTCTTGAGTTGAAAGCTATATGTGAGAACCAGTGGTATTCTGTGCTTTGTTTTTGTGGTCTGTCTTTTAATAGTTTCTCCTTGGGAATCTGGCTTTATTGATTTATATGTTGATAACTTTGGGTAGATATTTCAATGAATGAAATCATACAATGGACACATAAAACATGAAACCTATAGATTGCAATGTATACCCACATGCTTCTAACTTCCATTCAGAACATACTACCAAATCTATCATCTATAGCCATATATGCTACAACCATATTTGTTCCAACCTACTTGACAGAGATGCTCAACTGATGGAATTAAACCAGGCATTCAGAAGATTGGACTATCCTCCCAACAAAACAGAACAACAGAACACAACTGGTTGTTCCCTGCTCAGCCATTCAAATGCATCATTAATAAGCTACAGTCTATACTGGACAATTTCACTGCACTTTCTCAGCCACTGGGTGGCAGGCCCATGGTTGCATTCAGACAGCCACCCAATCTGAAGCAGATTCTTACGAGCAACAAGAAACAACTGAACAATGATGGTAACATGGGAACCAGACCCTGCAACAAAGCCAGTTGTCTATGTTACCCCCACATTTACACCAGCAGCACCATTATAGGCTCCAAAAACTTCACATACTGTCATATGCTTTTCCTCTAATATAATATATGCTATCATCTGCCAGCAATGCCTCTGTGGATTCTATAAAGGACAAATAAGCCAGAGTTTGCACAAAAGAATTAATGGACACAAGTTTGACATCAGACTCAAAACAAGGACAGTGTAATAACAGAGCATTTTAACATGTCAGAACTCTCCATTACAGATCTTGAAGTAGCCATTTAGAAAAAAGAAACTTTACTGGCACAATTAAGAAGGAGACAGCTGAATTCATCAAATGTTTCAAGCTATCTCAGAAAGTCTCAAGAAACACAAAGCATTTTTAATACTTTTCATTAATAATCTGACTCACATATAACCTGCATCTACATAACCACTCTGTCTCCCTACCCTCCCCCCCGCGTCCCCCCAGCTTATCTCAATTTAAATCCTACAAGCTGCTCCATGTACCTGATGAAGTGACCT